CCAGCCCACAGGAAGCAGCCCTGAGATGAGGGGCCTGCCCTGTGCTGCCCCCACGGGGAGCCCCCCAGGTTCCATCAGGGGACCCCCTCCCGACAGACACTGAGACCCAGACGGAAGCCACCTGCTTCCTCATTCATTCACTCACTCATTCACTCATTCTTTCCCGGAGATCCAGTGGAAAAGGGGAAACTCCAGCCACTCGGGGGCTTCATGCGGCGCGGGGGAAGGACGCGGACCCTAATCATCTGGGCTCTTCGCGGGACGGGCGGCGAAGCAGGTAAAGCGCGCGGGGACGGTTCCGAGAGCCCGGGGGGATTTCTCTCGCTGTCCCCTAGGAGCATCTTCGGCCTCATTCTCTCTCTCTCCCCTGCCCCACACCCCAGACGGAGTCTCTCTGTCCTCCAGCCTGCAGTGCAATGGTGCGGTCTCGGCTCCCTGCAGCCTCCGACTCCCGGGTACAAGCGATTCTCCCGCCTCAGCCTCCCCAGTACCTGGGACTACAGACACGTGCCACCACACCTGGCTAATTTTGAAATTTTTAGTAGAGACGGGATTTCACCATCTTGGCCAGGCTGGCTCGAACTCCTGATCTCGTGTTCTGCCCGCCTCGCCTCCTAAAGTGCTGGGATTACAGGCGTGAGCCACCGCGCCCAGCCCTGTCTCATTCTCTTAAACCTTCTCCAGACTCCACTTCCTGTTTAGTGACCTTCCTTTGTAAAGGTCACAGTAAAAATCAGAGTCCTCGTCCTGACGAGTAAGGGCCTGTGTGGTCTCACTGCTTGCTCTGCCGCTGCTTTTGGGAACCTGCCTATTTTTGAGGGACTGTATATGAAATGTTTCGTGATGTCGCCTTTTGCATCATGTCTGAAATGTGCGAGAGGCACGGGGATGGTGTTTGGTTCAGAAATCCCAGAAGTCCCGTAAACAGATGCTGTATGTTTCCTGCTTTATGGTTTTGTATCCTACAGAGATTTCAAACAAATCTCTGGGAGTCTACAGAAATTTATACTCTGATTTTCTCCGAACACGAAGCATCTGCCCAAATGTAAGATAATCCAGTTATTTTACTTCAAAATTGTATTTTTTTTTAGTGTGAACTGAGGTTGGTCATTTAAACTGTATATTCCCCAGCTCCCAACTGTAGTAGTTACAATATTATCATTTTATAATTTCCCCTTTTTTTAGTATGAAGCTTACCAGGAATGTGTCATTCATATGTATGTATATATGTACATGTGTATCATATATCATATGAACATATACGTGTGTGTACCATATATCAACATGTCCTGTTGAAATCACAGGATTTCTTTTGTTTGTTTCTTTCTTTCTTGAGACAGAGTCGCACTCTATTGCTCAGGCTGGAGTGCAGCGGGATGATCTCGGCTCACTGCAACCTCTGCCTCCTGGGTTCAAGCGATTCTTCTGCCCCAATCTCCCCAGTAGCTGGGATTTCAGGCGCACACCACCACACCTGGCTAATTTTTATATTTTTAGCAGATACAGGGTTTCATCATGTTGGCCAGGCTGGTCTTGAACTCCTGACCTCAGGTGATCCACCCACCTTGGCCTCCCAAAGTGCTGGAATTACAGGCATGAACCACCACACCCTTGATTTCATTCTTTTGTATGGCTGAATAATATTCTATTGTCAACTTATGTAATATTTTCTTCATTCAGCATCCACAAGTATTTAGCTTGTCTTTATATCTTGACAATTTTGAACATTGTTGCAGTAAACCTGAGTGAGCAGATAATTCTTCAAGATACTGCTTTTATTTCCTTCAGTTATATACACAAAAGTGGAATTATTGTAGTGTAGGTTTGTTTTTTAAAAAAAATTTAATACCTTCCCTCCTGGTTTTCATAATGACTCCACCAAGTTAGAACTTGGTTTTGTGCTTTGACTATACAAGAAGCAGACCCAAGAGGGACTGTGTTTTGCAAGGACCATATAGCATATTGGGTGTAGGTATCAGAGGAAGAGGCCTCTGACCCCAGCATGCAAAGAGAATTGGAATCTGATGAGGGCAGCCCTGAGAATCCTAAGGTGTAAACCCAATGGGTGTTGACCAGGTTGGGGATGAAAACCTAGAATTCTAGGCATTCAATTTTCCGTGCCTTTTCAGTGCCCAAAGAACCATAGTATATGAGGATTGAGTTGATCCCTACGGCCCATCTACTCCAATCTGCTCATTGGTGAGATTGAAGCCCAGAGAGGGGAAGTGACTCTCCCAAGGTCACACAGCCACTAACTGGCACAGCCAGGACAAGGAACCGAATATTTCAACTTGTCCTCTCTCACCTTCCATGCCAAAATCCTTCCTGAGACTGAGCATTTTAGGCATTCAGCCTTTCTCTCTTAGACTGGAAATAATCCAATAGACACATTCTCCCTAAGATATGAAAGAGCGTCCTTTTTTCTTTACTCCTCAGCTCTCAAACTGGGAGTTGCATTTGAAAAAAGGAGCTTCCTTAATTTACATTAGAACCATGATAATGGTGGATTTCTAAACCAGAGAATATAGAGCTTTGTAGGGCATTAAAGATTGTGGATTTTTTTTTTTCTGGTTGTGATATGGAGTCTTGGAGGATTTTTAATCTGGGTTATAGCAAGTGCTGACATATTTTAAAAAGTATCCTTCTGGGTGTTGTATGATTTATTCTTGCTGGTCCCTAAAAGATGATGGTGGACAGAGGGAGATGTGTGAGCTCAGGGGTGTGGGGTCCGCACTGTAGATGTGGGGGTGTTGGGATGGTGACTGAGCATGAAAAAGGCAGGCTGTCCCAGAGCGAACTGTACCCGTGGGCAGCTAATGGCACGTGTGAGTGACACAGTTCCCAGCTGATTAGAGGCAGCAGAGAGTCCTGAGCTCGCCTTCATTTCCTGCCACTTCCCCTGAGCTGAGACTACTCTGTGGGCTACTTTGAAGTCATGAAGCCTTTTTTGGTAACTTTGGCTGTGCTGCTGCTTTTCTTCCAAGTCATTTCAGGTAACCTAGACCTCTTCAGGGGAGGGGCTGGGAGTAGATAGTGGGTCTTGGTCACGGGAGGATGGGCTGACAGGGAGCAATGTTAAATAGCAATTGTCTGGAGGAAGGGGAAAGAGTCCGCAGATCCTGGTTTAGAAACTGCCTCACCATTTTCAAGTTCTGTGATGCCCCCAGCAAACTACTTGGTGCCTGTGAATTTCAGTTTATCCATTTCTCAATTTAAAATAATAAATTAGGTTGAGGGATGGACATTGAAGACACTGAAATTTTGATGTACAACAAATGTAGCTTTTGAAATTTTTTTGTAATTCATTTGAATGTTTCCAGGAACTCTCAGCCTGCTGGTAGAAAAAGTGGGAGTTGAAAAGGGCACAGGGTTGTACACAGCTTCAGAAGACAATTCTATTCATCTTTTTAGATTTAAAAGAGCCTCTCAGATGAGCTCATTCTGCTTTAAAATGTTCAGTCTTTCAGCGTTTCTGCTTTCACCATCCCCCCCCCCCCACTTCTTCTCAGAATGGCAGCTGGATTTAGCGGATAATGGACATGTCATTGCTTAGTTAAATAACTCGTTCATTCAGTAAATATTGTTGAATGTATTCCAGGTACCAGGCACAGGTGTTAGAGATAAAGCAATGAAATCAACCGACTGACTAACCAACCAACCAGCCAACCAAACAAAATCACCATCCTCTTGGAGCTTATGATTCTATTGGGGGAAGGAATGAGCAGAGTAAGCAGGGGATAGCAAGTATCAGGGGACGTGAGTTTGCAACTTAAAACAAAGGGCATCAAGGGAATGCCTCACTGAGAAGGTGACATTCGAAAAGCGACTTGAAGGAAGTGAGGGGTGAGCCATGCAGATATGTTGGGAAGAACCTTCATTTATTAGCTGAACTCCTTATCAAAGAGATGCTGTCTGTCATCCATTTGGTTACCTTGGGGTTTAGAGAGTTCAGACAGGAAGACAGGGTGAATGCTTGAGTTTATCTTTGCTTAATCAGTTTCAGAGATAATGAATTAGTTTTCCATCAGCCTCAGGTTGAGCCGTTAGTTTTTCTTAAATATTATTTATTTTGAACTGATGATTCTAAGCAATGAGTTCAATCTATTGCAATTATTATCGCTATTGAAGTACAAATTGTCCTAATCTTGGCCAATAGGAGTCTCTTCAATTTGGCTTGTAAGCCTTTCAGTTATATCCTTGTTAGTCTTTGATGGCTTTCTTGGTATCTGGTATGACAAGGTGTTTCAAGATCATCTTGTAATTTACTGCCCATAAGTGGCATCCACCATGTCTCCAAGAAGTCCTGTTTTTTTAAAAAAAAGCTTACTGGGAGATAATATTTTAAGATTACAATATGGGTAGTAGGGATGCTAACTTCTTCTAGTCATTGTTTCTAGGCTTTCTCAGTGACCAGAGCTGGAAAAAATTTTATCTATCTATCCATCTGTCAATCATCTATTTTGTATTTAAATATAAAATACTTGTGAGTTCATATTGGCATTTTCAATTCAAATTCAGAACTCAAATTCAGTATTTTCTTTATACTAATAATTCTGGTTCTCAAGGTCACCGGGGATAACAGAATTAGAATATGCCATGATTACTCATTTGATTGATCTCTCATTACATATACAATAGTCTTATTAAAATAATATCAATGCTATGATAATGTCATGATTACTCAAACTAGTTAAGCTGTCTGCATATGCTGTCACCATTATTCTCTCATTTTTATGTTGTATTGTATCTATATTTGTCAGAACATATAGCCATTATGTACTTTACTCCTTCTTTTAAAATCCTCATTTTGGTCTACAAGTATCTTTATATTTAATATTCAGTTATGTGTCAATGCTCCTCTCATTTGCTTATCTACAGCTCTTTTTCTAGTAGATTCTTTAGAAAGGGGCCCTGGGTTCCACTGGATATTTCTTGGGTTTCAGTATGGTGTTAGACTATATCCCCACCCTAGATATCTAGAGGGGATGCCTCCTTCTTCTCCAGCCTCCTCCTTCTGTCTGGCCCTCTGTTAGTCTTTTCAGTCCATGACTCATTTCCCCTCATGATTGAGATCAGCTCCTTTCTCTTTCCTTTTTGTAATAGGCACCATTGAAAAATGCTGGAATTTTCGTGGCTCTTGCCGTGACAAATGCCTGAAGAATGAAAAGGTCTATATTTTCTGCGAGAGTGGTAAACTGTGCTGTTTGAAGCCCAAGGACCAGCCACGTTTACACTATCTTACAATGAATTAGTGCTTTAAAGTCTGAGGTCGCAAAAATGAAGATGAACTTGCCCTGAGTCTGATGTTAGTAGATTCCTGAGCTTTATTAAAATATCTTTGGCTGACTTCTATGTTTGTCTCTTAGTATACCTAATCAAGCTCAAGGAGAAAAGGTATGGGTAAAGTTGTATATACATAAGAGGAAACTGGACCTACTATGTGTTGAGTATTTTGGGTCCTTTTCCTTTTAATTTATTTATTTTTGTTTTAGAGATGGAGTCTTGCTCTGTCACCCAGGCTGGAGTGAAGTATCATAATTATGAATCACTGCAGCCTCAAACTCCTGGGCTCAAGCAGCTCTCCTGCCTCAGCCTCCCGAGGAACTGGGACTAGTGATTAGCTAATTCTATTTTTTTTTTGTAGATATGAGATCTGGCTTTGTCACACAGGCTGGTCTCAAACTTCTGGCCTCAAGCGTTCCTCTTGCCTCGCTCTCCTAAAGTGCTAGGATTATAGGCAGGAGCTCCACACGAAGAACTTTTCCTTTTTTTATCAAAAAGGAAATCTCATCTATTCTTTAATTATTTTTACAGCTTTATTAAGGTATAACTGACAAATAAAAATTATGTATATTTAAGGTATGCAACATGATGATTTGATATGCATATACATTGTGAAATGATTGCCACAGTCAAGTGTTAATTAATACATCCATCACTTCACATGGTTACCAATTTTTTTTACAATGTAGTGAAACACTTAAGATCTACTCTCTTAGCAACTCACAAGTATACAATATAGTTTTTTCTTTCTTTTTTTTGACAGAGTTTCACTCTTGTTGCCCAGGCTGGAGTGCAATGGCACGATCTCAGCTTACCACAACTTTTACCTCCCAGTTCAAGCAATTCTCCTGCCTCAGCCTCTGGAGTAGCTGGGATTACAGGCATGCGCCACCACCCCTGGCTAATTTTGTATTTTTAGTAGAGATGGAGTTTCTCCATATTGGTCAGGCAGGTCTCAAACTCCCAGCCTCAGGTGATCCACCCACCTCGTCCTCCCCAAAGTGCTGGGATTACAGGTGTGAGCCACTGTGCCCAGCCTACAATATAGTATTGTAAACTGTAGTCACTGCTGTGATTTGGATGTTTTCCCTCCAAAATTCATGCTGAAACACAATGCTCAATGCAACAGTATTAAGAGGTGTGACCTCTAGGAGGTGATTGGGTCATGAGGGCTTCACCCTCATGAAAGGGATTTTGTGACCTTATAAAAGGACTTGACAGAAGCAGTTTACCCCTTTTCACCCAGTGTGTCCCTTTCCCGATGTGAGGACGCAGCGTTTGTACCCCCTGGGAGATGCAGCAACAAGGAACCATCTTGGAACCAGAGAAACTGGGCCCTCACCAGCCTTGATCTAGGACTTCCCAGTCTCCAGAACCATGAGAAATACATTTCTCTTCTTTATAACTCATCCAGCCTCAGGTATTTTGTTAGAGCAGCACAAATGATCCCAGGTAATCAGCAAGCTTAACAGCTGATCTCCAGCACTTACTCATCTTATGACTGAAAGTTTGCATCCTTTGACCAACATCTCCCCATTTCCTCCATCTCTCAGGACCTGGAAACCAGCATTTTATTCTTTGCTTCTGCAAATTCAATATTTTTAGATTCCACATATAAGTGAGATCATGCAGTATTTGTCGTTTGGTAATTGGCTTATTTCCCTTAAGGTAATGTCCTCCAGGTTCATCTGTGTTGTCACAAATGGCAGGATGTCTTCACTTTTATGGCTGAATAATACCTCATAGTATAATATGCTACATTTTCTTTTCTTTTTTTTATACTACATTTTCTTTATCCATCCATCCATAAACAGGGGTTGAGGTTGATTCCATAGCTTGGCTAGTATGAATCATGAGGCAAAGCGCATAGGAGTGCAAGTATCTCTTCAACATACTGAATTCATCTCCTTTGGATGTCTATCCATGTGTTTGTCTGATCTCACAGTGCTATAAAGAAATACTTGAGACTCAGTAATTTATAAACAAAAGAGGTTTAATTGAATCGCAGTTCTTCATGGCTGGGAAGGCATCAGGAAACTTATAATCATGGTGGGAGGTGAAGGGGAAGCAAGGCACATCTTACATGGCAGCGGGTGAGAGAGAAAGCGCACTGGGGTGGAGGGGAACTGCCAAACACTTTTACAAACCATGAGATCTTATTCAAACTCACTATCATGAGAACAGCATGGGGGAAACCATAATCCAATCACCTCCCACCAACTCCTTCCCTTAACCTGTGGGGGTTGCAATTCAAGATGATATTTGGATGGGAACACAAGAGTCTCACCATATCAACCCAGGATTCATATGGTAATTACGTTTTTTAGTTTTTTGGGAAACATTCATATGGTTTTCCGTAATGGCTGTACTAATTTACATTCCTACCAACAGTATGCTAGTATTCTTTTTTCTTTATATCCTCACCAACACTTGTTATCTTTCATCTTTTTGTTAATAGCCAACCTAGCAGGTGTGAAGTGATAACTTATGGCTTTAACTTGCATTTCCCTGATGATTTGTGATGTTTATGATTTTTTTTTTCATATACCTGTAGGCCATTCATATGTCTTCTTTTAAGAAATGTCTATCCAGGTCCTTTGCCTATTTTAAAATCAGGTTATTTATTTTCTAATAATTATTCTAATTATTTTCTAATTATTTCTAAAAAATCTAATTATTTTCTAAGTTATTTATTTATTTTTTTGAGACAGAGTTTTGCTCTTGTTACCCAGGCTGGAGTGCAATGGCGCGATCTCGGCTCACCGCAACCTCCGCCTCCTGGGTTCAGGCAATTCTCCTGCCTCAGCCTCCTGAGTAGCTGGGATTACAGGTACGTGCCACCATGCCCAGCTAATTTTTTGTATTTTTAGTAGAGACGGGGTTTCACCATGTTGACCAGGATGGTCTCAATCTCTTGACCTCGTGATCCACCCGCCTCGGCCTCCCAAAGTGCTGGGATTACAGGCGTGAGCCACCGCGCCCGGCCCAAGTTATTTATTTTCTAATATGAGTTTCCTTATATATGTTGGGTATTAATGTCTTATCAGATGTTTGGCTTGCAAATATTTTCTTCCATTCTGTAGGTTGTCTCCTCTCCCTGTTGATTTCCTTGGCTGTGCAGAAGCTTTTTAGTTTGATATAATCCCATTTGACTATTTTTGCTTTTGTGGCCTGTGCTGTTGGGGTCATATCCAAAATATCATTGCTCAGATGAATGTCATGGAGATTTTTCTCACTGTTTTTTCCTAGTGGTTTCACTGTTTCAGTTCATATGTTTAAGTCTTAAATCCATTTTGAGTTGATTTTTGTATATAAGGCAAGATAAGGGTCTAATGTTATTCTTCTGCATGTGGATATCCAGTTGTGGCAATACCTTTTATTGAAGAGACCATCCTTTCCCTTTTGTGTGTTCTTGGCACCATGGTTGAAAATCAGTTGACTGTAAATGTGTGGATTTATCTCTGGACTCTCTATTCAGTTCCATTGGTCTGTGTGTCTGTTTTTATGCCAGTACCATGCTGTTTTTATTACTATCCCTGCAACTTTACTAAATTCCTAATTTTTTTGATGCTATTGTAAGTGGAATTGTTTTAAATTTATTTATTTTTATTTTTTATTTTTATTTTTTTTACAGCGTTTCACTCATCACCCAGGCTGGAATGCAATGGTGAGATCTTGGCTCACTGCAACCTCTGCCTCCCACGTTCCAGTGATTCTCCTGTCTCAGCCTCCCAAGTAGATGGGATTACAGGCACCCACCACGACACCCCGCTAATTATTTTGTATTTTTTTTTCTTTTTAGTAGAAACGGGGTTTCACCATGTTGGCCAGGCTGGTCTTGGGCTCCTGACCTCAGGTGATCCACCCACATCAGCCTCCCAAAGTGCTGGGATTACAGGCGTGAGCCACTCTGCCCGGCCTGTTTTTAAATATCTTTTAAAGAGAGTTCATTATTCATCTAATCCTTTCAATCAACCCAATAAGTAGTTATTGTCATCACTTTTATTTATAAGTGGGGAAACTGAGGCTCAGATTGGTGAAGTCATTTACCCAATGCTGTGATACCCACATAGCTAACATGAGGAAGTACTGGAATTAAATGCTAGTGTGCATGACTCAAAGGAGAGGGTAAAAGATATAAGCTTGCAAGTAGCTCCTTGCTCCTACACCATTGCTAATATAAATGAAAACATCTGTTGGATTTATTTGAATTTCTTAAATGAAAATCTGGGAGTAGACAGTGTTGCAAAGGGGTCTTAATTTCTGGGATTGTTATAGAAGTTGAACAGTTAAGCAGGAAAATTAACTTTATCCACAGGTCTAATTCTTACCCCATTACTTTCTTGCTATATTTGTTATTTTGATTTTCATATTTAGTTTAAATGTTTATCAAAACCATACATACAACATAGTTTTAAAAATCAACTTTGAGGGCAGGCATGGTGGCTTATACCTGTAATCCCTGAACTTTGGGAGGCCAAGGCGGTCAGATCACCTGAGGTCAGGAGATCGAGACCAGCCTGACCAACATAGTGAAACTCTGTCTCTACTAAAAATACAATAATTAGCCAGGCGTGGTAGCGGGAGCCTGTAATCCCAGCTACTCAGGAGGTGAAGACAGGAGAATCACTTGAATCTGGGAGGTGGAGGTTGCAGTGAGCCAAGATCATGCCACTGCACTCCAGTCTAGGTGACAGAGTGAGACTCTGTCTAAAAAAAAAAAAAAAAAAAAAAAAAAAAAAAAAAAAAAAAAAAAGTAAAAAAAAAAAAAAAAAAAAAAAAAAAATCAACTTTGAATAAGAGACTATAATAGTATGTAATAGTATAGTATTATATAAGACTGTAGTAAAATACCGGAGTCCTCTGTCTCCCTTTCTTCATTTCCTGCTTTTCAAACTACTTTCACATCTTTTGGTTGTTTCTTTTGATTTCACTTCCATCTCTTCCATCATTATTTACTAATAGGCGTATATGGTTACTTATTAATTTTTCAGTTTTAGGCATTTTCCATTGGATTTCTGCCAAGGGAAATGAGGATTTAGCTGTCTGCCATCTTCTTT